AGGTTGCACAGGACGCCATGGATTTCGGACCAAAAGGACACGCCAACGACTCGCCATGGAGATTGTCTCAGGCTCTGCACCTACAATGCCAGTACAGTCTCCATCAACGCCAATCTACACGCCCTCTTCGAAGCTGCAGGGCGCATCAACTACCACGTAGTCGCCTTGCAGGAAACAAAGTGGAAGGCGGACGTGAGGCAGCGGAGTGATGGCGCACTCATCATTCTTGGTGAAAGGTTAAATCAGGAACGTTGGAGGCGTTGGATTTGTCGTACACCTATCTGTTGTCTATCTTGTCGAATCGCACGAGAACCTATCACCTCGCCTGGCAATCCTTCGACTCCGCCCTTTGCATCAGAAAGCCATCACTATGCTATTCTACTGCTATTCTCCAACATCAGCAGCTAATGATTCGAAACTTGATGCTTTTTTATGAGGAATTGGAGGAAGTCATCCACAAAGAAAACTCTTTTATAAGTTCTTCGTGGGTGACTTCAATGCGAAAATCGGGATAGCAGAAGAAGAGGAGCACAGGACTGAAAGATTCGGATCAAGATCCAGAATGAGAATGGTAACCGTCTTGTTGGGCTTTTATTCGATCGACCACATCCCAACCGAAGGTGGTGCTTAGAAGCGGCTCAGTGGTACCATACTTCAGTAGTGGTTCAGATCACCGCCTCCTTCGAGCAAAAGTGCAATTCAGCCGAAGGCTGGAAAAGAAGATCTGCCACGGCGTCGGAGGAAGGAGAAAAGTCGTATATGACGGCGTCAGATTGGACGAGCTCTTGACCACTTGAGTGGCCCATAAAGGAGGACCCGACGAATGACTACGACCTGCTTATTAGAGGACTTGGTGAAAGTGCGTCAGTGCGGACTTGGAACGATTTCGAAAGCCACCAAGGATCTGCTGAAGAGGAGAAGAGCACTGAGGCTGAATCCGACTGCATCACATCTCGAGCGACTGGCCAATATCAGTTGCAGAACAGCTTTGCAAGTACAGTGCAAGAAATCTTTAAAAGTACAAGCAGTCGAAAATTTTAGAAGCAGCACAACGAAGGAGAAGTCTGAAGAAGTACCGCAGACTTCTCGACTATCGTGTTCCGCTGGCACATTACTAAACGAAGACGGGACTCGCACATCTTAACGACAAAAGATGGAATCGATCACGAAGAGATTCTACACCAATCTCTT